GTCATGTCTTTGTCTCCTAAGTGATTGTAAGCCTACTTTGACTTATTTAATACATTTATTAATATAATATTATCATATTGTTTTCGTACTTTTTTTTCTTTTTTTTTAAACTTTCTCTTGTGATTTTTGGTCAACCTTATCACGGAAGCGGCTGGACCAATCAACATGAAATTTGGCAGTAATGTAGATGAGTCTGACCTACACTGCACCCGCCAACGGTTTTATGATAGACCCCATATTTGAGGAGGGGGCTCCATCCAAAGAGGGGTTGTCTGGACACACAAAAATGCTTATAATTCAAAAACTTTTCAACAAAAGAGCTTCAGATCTTTTTTGTTTGTTTGTTAACTCTGATGAAGGGCTATCCATTGCAACTACACTTAGCCCCCACCCTACTTGAAATGGGTCGTCTGGACTAACAAAATTGCTCATAACTCAAAAGCTATTCAACATAGGAACTTCAGATTTGTTAGTTGTTTAGCACTGATGAAGGGCTATCCATCAGGTCCACCAATGAGCCCTCCCCCAGCATTACTTTAAGTTTCTTTACTTTATTTTATTTTACTTTATTTCATTTTACTTTGTTAATATAACCACAAAGTCTAAATGAGATTAAAGATCTCTTACAATGAGACATGGACAAAGTAGCAGCCATCAGAAAAATAAAACCTACAAAAAACACAAAAAGTTATAAAACAGAGCCACATGTATTTAAGTACAATAACCTCTCAAGTAAAGCAGTGACATTTCTCCCTCACTGCATATTTAATAAAACACTTTATCACTGATTTAAAAACAAATATTTGCAATTTAAGAATGTTTGAAGATTATTTCAAGATCATGATGCATTGTAGAAATAAACACTGTTTTTTCCTAAATCTGTCAAAGCCTGCATGGTTAAAACTATGAACAGCAACCACTTGGAGGTGCAGCACTAGAGCGGATTGAAAGTGGGGCGCTGACATTTTTGGAAGTTTACCCACTTGTGCTTTGTAAATAAACACGTGAAGCCAAACCAACTAAATCACTGAGTACAGTGCTGAGCGAGAGTTTTTTTTTTTTTTACTCTTTGTTTGGAAATAGTCTTTACAATGACATTTCTCTGTTCTGGCACTGGGTAATTAACTTGTTTTGGTTTTACTGAAAAACAGCTGCTCACAGCTTTTGCCTGATGGCTCAATTTCTGGTGGCAACAGCCAGTGTTTCTGAGCCTCCAGGCAAGACTGCTTATGCAGGAATGCTCAACAATTAAAAACCAAACCAAAAAATAAAATGTAAAATTAATTTGTTGTCAGATTTTTTTAAATATCTTATTCAGATGTAAAAAGGAAACAATACTCTTTGTGGTCACAACCAGTTATCAGTGGAATGATGTTTCTAGACACCAAAAGCAAGGAGAAAAGATAATAAAATGTTAGTCAATTTTTTACACAACTGGAGCTCATTTTGTGTCCTGTAATGAAGTGTGGGCGCGGCGAGGTTTCACAACCCCTCAGAGCCCCGGGGGTAATTTTACTGGCATTATGAATGACATTTTAAAGGAAAAGACTAAATGTCATGGCTGCTCCACAGTGACTTGCCCCGAGGAGCCCTTCTCCTCCCTAAAATATAGAAATCTTCAGACAGAAGGCGTTAAACAGTTTAGCATTTTGAATTTTAAAAACCCATCCTGCCTTTTATAGTAAAAGATTCTTCACAGCTCCAGGCAAGATAATAAGGGTATTTATTAATCAAAGATTTTCTGCAGTGTTTTAATAAAATCACCTAAAAAAGTGACTCAACATTTAGAAAACTTACATACAGCAAGGAAACCACATAAAATGGAGCTCTAGATTGTATTTTAACTGCTTTGAAATTAAATCACTCATCTTTATTGTTATTTTGTATGTACTTACAATATATGATCAAGCAGAATCAATGAGTTTTTTGATTGCATTTTTAATTCATGTTCAGAGAAGGATTTGCTATCACAAAGCTACAGCAGTTCTAATTTTAATTGCTATGCGTTATGATTCATCACCTCCCCAGAGAAAGTCGTGACATTTTTAAAGTCTGCTAAAACCTCCTCCAGAAGCTCAAGGATTCTTGTTGTTGGTATTATATTTTTTTAATCTTTCTTCTGTGTGTACAGAAGTTTGTCTGATCTCCTTTGGATTCTCCACAGTTGGTACTCACAGCAGGGAGGATAATGCCAAATTTCCTTCCTTTTTTTAAAAAATCTGCAGGAAAACTCATGTTGGTGTTCACAAGTTTAGTTTGTTTAAAATGCATGTTACCCCATGACGCAGAAGCTTTGTTTAATCACACTTAGCACCAATAACTCAGCAGTCACTTTGAATTTAGTTTTGAAGTCAGTTTCAAACATTGTTGTGTCCGATTTTTAGCCATTCTTCTTTACAACATTGCTTCAACAAGACCTCTAGTTTTCTTCCAAAATCCTGCAGAAACAAAAAGGGTGGTGTTAGTTTATCATAAACTATTTTTCTATTTTGTTTTTGTTTAATAAATAATGACATGGTAATATCTGTTGTGTACACTTTGAGATTAGATTTGAAATCATTGAAAAACCTGGTAAAGGTCAAATTAAAAAATAAATAAAATATTTTATATATAATTTTAAAAAGTGTAGCTGTACAAACAAACAATTCTACAAAATATATACTGTATTTAAAATTACAGACTGCTTCAGTTTTCTGGAACTGGTTAGGTTTTACAACCTCAGACTTGGAGCAACAAACACCTCACTGCAAAATCTGTTTGAAGGCTCTTGCTACGAAAAGCAGGAGTACAACAAATTAGTTTTGACACCTGAAACAGAGGCACTCCGTTAAGTGGGAAACAAAATCGATTAAAATCAAAAATCGCATTTGGGATGAAAAGTCAGAGATTAGTTTTTTGGGCCATATCGCCCAGCTCTAGTGTCTTGGTCCAACCTGTATTTTGTCTCTAAATTGAAATGGCAGGCAAAGCCACAAATACAAAGTTTTAACAACTTTTTAATAACATGCCTCAGTAGCTTCACAGTTATCCAAATGATTAAGTTTTTTTAAACAAACAGTCAGGGTCGGGTCATTGAGAGTTTGACATGTGTTTAATGTGAGAAATGATGTATCTTTATGACCTCAGTGGGAAAACTAAAAGCTTTAGTGTACAAGTGTGGAAAAAAATGAGATGACCCACAGAGGTTTGTTTGTTTAGTGACTTTGAAATGAGTCTAAAATGACTCAGAGTACGTAAATCACAGTGCCTGTGTTCCATTCTGTACAGGGAAACAGGCGTGCATTTGTAAATTTGGATATTTCTTTTTAAAGAAAGACACGGCAGCTGCTCATTAAAGCTGAGAATGGAGTCTGAGCAAATATGGAAAGGCTTAACGTGGCTAAAACGCAGTTGTATTAGCGGCCGACATGCCTCATTTGGAGGCAGCTGATTTATTATGCAGGAAATTAAATATATTTTACTTCCCCCAAATACTCCCTCAGTTGACAGTGAGGCATCTTTGTGCCAACAAACACATTTTTCTAACTGTGGAGACAAAACTTGTAAAAAGATTAGGTAAAAAACAAGGGATTTCTGATAAGCTGTGACAGTATTTGCAAACATCAGAAGGATTTAAAGATTAGATCCATCAAAAAGTGGAGAAAATGAGCGAAACCTGCTGTGTTCTGTTTTTTCCTGCTTACCTTTTGTATTAAAAGGAAGAAGTGTGGAGGTGACTGACTGTCAGTCAGGCACATTGTACAGAAAGTCGTGACTAACAGCCCCCCTTCTATCTTTTCTCCCACGTTCTCGCTCTCTTTAACATAAGTGTGATTAATGTTTAGTTCCTGAGATGTGGTTGCCATAGTGACATGGGAAATTATTACTTAAGGCTACAGGAAGAAAAAAACAGGCTACGTGAAATATTAACTCTTGTGCTTTTGTGCTCACAAAAGAAACATTGAGTGGAATGCCATCGCTCCTCCCCACATTATAATGGCAGCCCAGCAAACTGGCCAGCAATTGATGCTGCCAACCTCAAATTTACAAAGATCCACAACAGGCTGCAGCATCCTCACCAGAGCAGAGTAACGATTAACACGTCGTAACGTTGTAAAGCCTCTGTATATAAGACACATCAATATAGAAGAGGTTTAGCATCTCTTTAAAAAAGGTTATATTGCCTTTTTATGTCACAAATTTAGACTTAAGTCATCTTAAGTTCAGAAATGACAAACGTATAATAACTGTGGTCAAACCTTGAGAATAACATTACACACAATCTCATGCAATATTGCAATATCATGCACCATCTGTTAGCCTTTATATTGTTATAAATGATTATCAGCTACTGCCACAATTTTAGCTCAATATCTGTAAAAATTATTGAGTTGTACCCATTTTTGTGTAGGCTAAGGCTAATTTTCTGCGACAGGCAGCTCACTTCAGTCTCATGTCAAGATGTTATTCTCAGCATTTGCATGACTCAGCTACTTTCACATCACAGTCAAGGGTGGAGCCAGGGGTGGCCATGGCCACCACAGACAAATCTTTGGCCACCCCATTGACCACCCTGCTGTAAACACCCCTTACACAGTGAAACAACTTTTAGGGGTGTAATAATCCTCCTGAACAGTTGGTGGCAGTGTTTAACAGTTTGAAACATCACCAAGCTCAAAGAAGTGACAAAGAAGTGATTGTTTTCTTTATGTATAGAACATATGCCTATGTAATCTGATTTAGGGTGACAAATGTTCCTGGCCACCCCTATGTGAGTAGTGGTCCCCGTCTGGCCATCCCTGAGAAAAATGTCTGGCTCCACCACTGATCACAGTTTAGCTCAGTATCTGTAAAACTGACTGAGTTGTAGACATTTTTTTTCTGTTGGATAATGTTGATTAGCTGTGGCAGCCATCTTGACTGCTAAAGCTAACCAGTTGCAGAGTGTATAATGTGTATAATTACTTTCTGTCCAGTGATTCCTGAGAGGTTTTACTAGCAATAAATCTTCTTTCAGGCTGGATATCAGATCACTCAGCAGCGCCGGCCAATCGCAGTGGACGGCATGCTCACTTACAGCTTCTTCAGGGAAAAGAGGAGCCAGGTGATCCAGAAACACGTGCACATCAAACAGATCCAGCTGGAACAGGACAGTGGCAAGAGCCTGCACGATGATGTCCGCAGCCAGACGCTCATAGATCTTAACAGAGCAGGTTGGTGAGCTGCCACCTCCAGTGAAACAAGAAGTCTGGGAGTGAGCGGTGTTTTCTTAATGTCAGCAGTTCCCATGAAAACTAACAATACGTTGATTCACCTCTTGTGTTTTGCAGCCAAGGTGCAGCTAATTTGTCTGAAACAATTTTTATTAATGTGTTTTTGAGTGCTTGTTATGAAGACATCAGTACACTGTTCAGAATGACCAATTTGTTTTATTATATTAAACAGGAGATTATTCTAAGTCAACCTTAAAGGGACTGTTCAATTTTTTTCAAAGTGGGTTTCTGTGGAAAGGTTATGAACAATTAATATCTTATTTGTTGTAGATAGCTTTTTAAACAACCTCAATTTGAAGAAATAGTTTAATTCTGACCAGATTGACGAGCTAACAGCTGGTCTAAGTGGGGCCAAGACCAAAGGGGATTAATGTTGCCTTTAAACAACTTTCAGAGCAGTTCATGTGAACACAGGGTGGGAATCTTTAGGCACCTCATGATTCACTTAATCTGAAATATTGTTGGTTTTTGATTATCTTGAAACTGAAATGACTATGGCTTATTTTACATAAATAAACACTAACTAATATTTTTTCATGCCCAACAAAGAGTGCATGATATTACGTCAGAAAACCATATTAATCACAGCCTGCTGACCAGTAATTAGCATGGATGGTAACTTAAGTTTGGAGAGCTAACACAATTAGCATTGTGTATATTACTGGAAATTTCTACACGAATCAAATGTTTAAAAGTCATTACTAAAAGACATACATGTTATAACATCAACTGTTATTTACAGACACATTCCTCAGGGTTTGGAGGGAAAACTGCAGGATTCTTCAACCTCAATAAGCTACAGTGACTCTAGGTCAAACATTTTTGTTTCGTTATATTTTTGAGGGTGGGGCTGGTATTGTTATGTAGCTTTAAACATTTAAGAGCAAAGCAGAGTTGGACAGATCAACTATAAACTTTCTCAATAATCTAAGTGTTGTTTAGGTTTGTCACAGAGCACCGTGGGACACATGCCCTGTGGATTTAAAACTCAGCTGTCTTCCCATGCATCAGGTGTTGGTCTAATGGAGCTGGTGATGGAGCCAGACATGAACTGTGGAGAGGAGGCCGCGGCAGCTGTCAGAGAGCTTCAGCTCATCCTGCAAGCTCTGGGTACCTGTCAAGGCAACATGTCGGGTATGGAAATCACTTTTGTTACTTCCCCTCTAGGTTTTGCTACATTTCTAAATGTGAACTTAGTCTTTTTCCTGTATGCATCCACTTACTTACTTTGTCCTTAGAGGGCCAGATGAGAGTGGACGCAAACGTGTCTGTACACAGACCCGGTGAGCCACTCGGCATCAGGACCGAAGTGAAGAACATCAACAGCGTCCGATTCATGGCCAGGGCTATAGGTAAGAACCAAAAAATAAATATAAATAAAAAAATTAAAAACTACTCAAAAACCTGTGTTAAACTAAATGGCATGTGGGGTAATGTAAATATTCATGAAATTATATAACCATGTTGCCTAAAAAGTTGGTCTCTGTAAAAATCTGAACACGACGAAGTGTAATAATTGCAAATAATTTAAACCTAAAGCTGAAAAGTTGTCATGTCATGGATCATTGTTTTGAATTCTGTAGTGGAAAATCCTCAGGACCCATAAATACAAACTCGGATTCCACCAAATCCAAAATGAAAAACAAACAGATACAGATGTACAGCTGCTGCTTTAAAAATAGCTTAGGTAATTTAGCAAGCTGTCCTTTCTGAATTTTTCAAAAAAAATAAATAAATAGATAAATAAATAAAGACTCTATCAAGCTTGCAATCATATTAGACAATTGGTTTGAAGTGAATCATTTATCAGGAGAAATAGTCTTATTTCAGTGAGTAAGGATAACAACAAATATATCAGCATCTGTACATCACCTCCCAGATAAAAGTATTGGCCACTTATTTTTCCCTGCTCCATCATTACATTTGTTTCAGAGCTGTACAGCAGAAAACATGAACATTTCTGACATGCAAGCGCTTAAACATGGGGCGTTTTTATTTAGGACTTTTATTTTGTTAAATCAAACTCAAACAGCTATATGAAGAGACAATGGATCAGGAAGTGAAGCCGTAAATTCAGCCCTGACAAGTGTTCATATACAGTTAACTGACTTCTCCCAGCTGCTCACTAAAATAAAACGATCTGTCAGATGTAGTTTCACTGACTGTGGTGGTTTCAGCTTCGCTTTAGGCTGACAAAAATCTCGGACAGAAAATGTTTTACAGAGTTTTAATTGGGCCGACGTGAAGAATCTGAGGATTACCAGCAGGCGTTTGATATTTACCACCAAACAAATAGGTGTTTTCTCTTTTGTGTGTTTATTTTCTTTTATATCCAAACAGATTATGAGATCCAGAGACAGATTGGCATCGTGCAGAGAGGAGAGGCGGTGCAAAACGAGACCCGGGCATATGATTCCAAATCAGGGTAAGTGGATGAAAAAGCAGCACGGTGAAGCCAAGATTTAGCCATTACAACACCCTCTGCCTGGGATCGCTGCCTGCTTCATTAGTCCTGAGCTTTGCTGAGGATGAACCATCACGGTAATGATGATGAATAGAGCCATTTGGATGCTGCTGTCGGCCTGTGTTATCTGTGAGCTATGTGCAACTCATGGCTGATGAGCTCGCAGAATGAGCCCGCAGCCTCACAGCTGAGGCCTTGATCATCTTCTGGGGCTCTGGCTCCTTCCCAGAAGTCCTCGCATGTCCGAGGAACACAGAGAAGGCTGTTTAACAGCGTGCATGATTGAGTCTTTCTTTTGAATCTGGCCACAGATCTGACAGTTCTGCTTTAAAAACAACAGCTCTGACTGAAAGGGAGCCCTGCACATATGCTCATTCTTTGTCTGCTATCAGATTTTAGGTTTTATTTTGGGGTATTTATATATATTTTTTATCTGGCCACAAGTCTAAATATATGTATTTACCCAGAAAAAAAATGGAGGGGAGCAATTGTTGCCTAAATGCTTACTCAGAGAGATTGTTTTAAATATGTAAAGTATTTTAAGCAGACTGAAAGGGTTTCAAATCATACTCTCATAAATTTGCAATTCAATTTTATAGCTTAACATATTGAATTATGTTACATCTTATATTTATACAGTGACACTATTCTTTTAATAGGACCATTTAGTATAAATAGACGTGCAAAATCTTAAAGTTTATGAATGAGATGCTAATTGGAAGCAAAGTGGTAAGCTTTTTACATATTTATATCACCTGCCACTGAAAGGTTAATGCAGGTAAATGTATTTTTGTCTGTTATCAAAACATCTCATGGACCATGGATGGATTTTAATGAATCTGGCAACAATGATAATTGTCAACAACTGATTGATAAATAGTCAAACCTAATTACGATGGCCGCCATAGAATATCATTATTAACCAACATAAATGTCTGTAACTCTGTCAATTTTCAAAATAATAACCTAAAACTTGGTGTGGTAGTAGCTGAGAGTCATTCTCAGCACATACTCTGACAGACACCTCTAATGGTATTGGATGAGACTAAAACAGCTTCAACTCTTATCTCAGTTTAAAACTCTGTCATAAAATGAGGTGGGCGATATTCATTCATTCAAGAAATGCCAGACCTTTAATGTTCAAAATATATTATATTGCAGACATCTTATAGACAACCTCGTTGTGTCCTTGGGCAAGGCACTTCACCTGCCTAGCCTGCAGGTGGTGGTCAGAGGGCCCAGTTGCACCGGTGTATGGCAGCCATTTACCATATTATTACTCCATAACCACACAATCAAATGTCATCTGACAGTATTTCTCACCAAAGGTGATTTTTTTTTTTGCCCAGTAGGGGTAGTGATCAGTCAGAACTTAGCCACATATGGGAAGAAAAGGTTGTGCTCACCAACAAAAGCTTCCTCTAATCCAGCCAATCAGAACAAAAGTAAGTGGGTACCTTTTATGGAGTTTGTTTTAAAAGTGACAGAACCTTTAAAAAGTGAATTAACTCAGCATCTAAACCCAGTATGAGTTAAATATGTATTTTTTTAACTGAAAGTCATGCAAAACGTCGTGGAAAATGCTTAAAACACAATAACAAAAACATACAGAGGCATGTTTAAAGTGTATAAGTAGATTTTTTTTCTATTTTATCTTTTTTGTTTTGTTTTGTTTTTAGAAAAACTGTGCCAATGAGGGACAAAGAGGGCCTGAGGGATTACAGGTGAGGGTGAATTTATTTTTAAATTTGCAAAGTGGTGTTTACAGCACAAAAGTTTCTCTTTCATTTATCATAGTTTTATCTGAGACCCTAATAAAGAGACCCCCCTTTCCACTTCTTTCCCTTGACTCCTTTTGCTTTTCTTCAGGTTTATGCCAGAGCCCAACCTGCCTCCTCTGATTATATACGAAGACGACACTTCTCTGCCCTCTGGCATCGAGCCATGCCAGGCGGTGTTGGTGCAGAAAATAAAGGAAATGCTGCCAGAGCTACCCAGCGTCAAAAGAGAGCGGCTGGTGCAGACCTACGGCATCCTGCCAGAACACAGCTTCACCCTGGTGGTGCGCTTTTATTTTTATTTTTATTTATAGCGTCTGGAAACGAGCATTCACTGAGAAATTTCCTGGCATATTACAGTCGATCCTTCAGATCAGAGAGACATTATCTCGTATACACTTGTTTGTGACTTGCAGATTAATGAAGCCTTTTGGGATAGATAGTTAATTCAATAATCTGTATGCTTAAAGATGAAACCATTTCCACGGTGTTGTTGCTGCAGAGTGAAGGGTTGACGGAGTATTTTGAGGAGCTAATGAAGGGGACCAAGAAGGAGCCGAAGAAGGTGATTGGCTGGGTGACAAATGACCTGCTGGGTCAACTTAAACAGAGAGACATCAGTGTGATCCAGAGGTGAGAATCATTCGGACTAACCGATATGTGTAACGTTGATTATTGGAAGTTTATGCAGATGTGATTGGTTTTTGCATGATTTACTTGTTGCTGTGTTGAGTCAGAAGTAAAACAGGTTCAGTTAATGGATTTTATTGTAGCTGCTCTCGGCTTGAGAATCCAAAAAAAAAAATTGATTTTCTAAATTTACTCTTTAAAACTGACTGGCAAAAAAATGAGTCATGTTTTTATCCAATTTAGACATTAACAGGCTGAAATCTTGACCTTCATCCCTTTTTTTTCTTTTGCTTTCTGTCAACTTATTGTTTATAATGAAAGCCTAAAACTGTCTAAAAACTATGAAAAAACCCTCTGCAGATCTAATCTGTTTCTATCAGCCTGTAGACAGCCTGTCAGCTGGAAGAAGCTGCATTTTACAGATTTTGCACTTTATTCTAAAATTCTAGTCTTTCCAGTTAATTTGGACATGAAAAGAGTTATTTATTT